CAGCGCCGTCACGATTCGCTTCAACTGATATTGTTGTCCGTTTTTCGCGTCGGATTTGATGCACAATTCCACCGGCTATGTTCTAAAACAATTGGTTCATGCTTTCAGCTGTGCACTATCGAGTTATGGAGCACGTGGGAAGTTTGGAGAGCACTCAAGAAGCTAGAGTTTCCCTCGGCTATCGCCTCGGGCAACTCTTACGCTTCTTTCGTGCTCTCCAAACTTCCCGCGTGCTCCATAACTCGATAGTGCACGCTAAAGCATGAACCAATTGTTAATTAATCGATCGACATCAGAACAAATCAAGAGCAGCGTAGACCATTCCACAAAAGAAATATTTTCAACGTCAGCTAAGGTATTCGTTTTAATCGTTTGTTTATTTCTCACCCACGACGAAAAAAATTGAGTTGAGCTGTAAATGAATGTCTTGTAGTTTACCACAAACTACTCTCACACAAAGATAACATAACAGCAATTTGTTATGTACGCTGAAGATTTTATTTTCATGAGTTAGAATTATCTCCATTCAAACTAACAACATTATCCTCAAAATTGAAACAGAACTCACATTATCCAGGATGGCGGTTGTTTGTCGTCTACTGTACTTTTCTTGGATCCATGTCAATCGCCAGCGCATCCTTTATATTGTTAAGTATCTATTTATGCTTCTTATCCCATGGTTTGTCGGCTCCTTGTCCAGTGTTTGTTCCATCTCTGTCAGTTGCCATTTCTTCTGGTCATTCTTGGAGGGTTCAAGTCTTTTCGAAAGAAATTCGTTTCGTTACGTTGGACACCACGGCTAAGGGCTGTATAGCGACTGCTTATTCTAAAATCTGTTGTGATCTTTTTGTAATCGAGTCTCCCTATATTTCTTTGACCGGGAAGTCGTAATTTTTACTGAACATCTTTTCGTGCTATATAGATATCTATCTTTGTGAGCATTCCTCATGCCTGCATGTTCTCTTCCTCTCTTGCTGATACTCTCCATCGACAGAGAGACCTTTGTATGAACTTGAATTGAAAACCGGTTTTTGCACGAACCGTATGCGGCTTGACCTTCAAATTCATTGACAAGTAATATTCACATTGACACTTTCAAGGACATTTTAAGATTTAAAATTTCAAAATTTAACTGCAGTTCGCTACAATACCCGTCCTTCCCCGACAAACGACAAATTCCAAAATTTTAGAGAGGCAGAAGGGGCGGAAGTAAAAATGCTACAAATAAACTTAAATAATATGATATTCCAGAATAGCCACTTCTTTTACCTTGAGAGTGTGAAATAAACAAAGGATTACAAAGAATACAGTGACTGGCGTGACCTTTCTTTTTTTATCAGTTCTGTTGCCGATTGAGGGATCAGTAAGGTCTTGTTCAAATTACACCAACTGAATTTGTAGAAATTATTTGGCTCCATCTTATAAGATAGATGGCTTCTTTGCTGCAACGAACATAGAAGAAAACTACAAAAAAGCGAAAGTTAAAGGAATTGAATACACCACAAAGAACAAGTATTAAGAAAATTCAATGTAAACTGTGTCAGTTGTCTTGTAAAGAGTAGCTTCAAAGGTATGTTTGTTAATAAGGAGACTCAGGCCTTCTGGACTTTATTTTATTATCATCATAATTTATTTAGGTAAGTTGTGAAGTCATTCGGTGGAAGATTTTATGACTTTTTAGTTTCTGATAAAATATCCTCATTTCTCTTGAATATTTGGCGGCCAGTGGGTAGTTATTTTCTGGTTTATTTCGCGTAATCGAGCCCTTTATACGTCTGACACGTACAACCCAAATAGTTCCCTTTGTCTTTTCAGTTGTTGGGATTTATGGTTATTCTTAATATTTAAACCCTTTCAGTTGTAGTTGAACGTGGTCGAGAGTACAATCAGTGACAAGATTGTTGACTCGTTACGACTTAGATTGCAATATTCTGGAAAAGCATACCATATTTTTTCCCAATACCCTTGCTTTCACTCTTTCTTCCTCTGTACAGTGTTGTACTTTGTTGCCTTTGCAACAACACTTTGAATCAGGGTAAGAGCAGGTAATGTGGCGATCTGTAGTGTATTTTAGCGTTCTTAACAGAGGCTGCGTGAATGTTTAGTGTCAACTTACTTTGAAGGTCACAGAGCGTACGTGCAGCTCTATATTTTAAGATCTGTCATTAAGTGTGCAGCTCACGTACAGATATCAAAAATAAATATCCGCTAAAGCTGAAGGGAAAGAGGACGTTTATAACACGGAAGGAGCACAGAGAAGATAAAAACTGAGGAGACACGGTAACACAACCATAGCAGCTTCTGACCATGGTGATCAACGTAACTAAAAAAATTACTCTCGAAAAAACGTGAACGCTCCAAGAAAGACTTGAAATAATGGCAACTGAAATTGACCGAACAAAGACAAAAGAAGCAGCTGATAAACCATTAGAAAACGAGTATGTAAAGATACTTAACAATGTAAAGGATAGGCTGGCAAGAGACATGGATCCAGATCAAATAGTGGTGAAAATGGCGAAATCAAATGTCTTTAGCCCCAAGGACGAGGAAGACATCAAAGGGAATGATTACAAAACAAGATGGGACCGATCCGTTACCATGTTGGAAATACTTCCTAGAAGGGGTTTCAAAGCCTATGAAGCGTTCAAGGAAGCACTTATTAGCACAGATGGGCAAACGCACCTTGCGAATATGCTTCTGGCGGCAGGTGGGTGATGTTGTATTACGAAATTTTATGCCCTACCCAGCTGGAATCACTGCCCGTGTGTTTTATTGTAATCGACTGTTGAAAGCTCTTTGATTAATTGCCTTTAAACATTCAGACACAATCTGTCTCTTTGTTATCCGCCATAATTCCTTCTTAAAATGCCCAAATGATCTCGCAAGTGAAAGAATTTCTCCTTTAACAGTGCAGATTCTGTTCTCCTAACGCTTCACCGTGTCCACAGTCCTATTTCCTGTAGGTTAAAAAGTGTAAATCATCAACATATACTGCTGTGATACAAAGTTACAAATTTACTAAAAAATTTTGACTGCCAGTGCACCACAATCAGTATTCAAATAATGCATTTCTTCTCTGGTAGAAAATAAGGAGCTGAGAAATGAACTTGAAGTAGAACGGCAAAACAGTTTAGAGGCAAGGAGCAGAGCAGAGGCATGGAGCCGACAACAAAGCAACACAGGAGGTAAATATTAGTTTAACTAATGACCACTGATGTCGAATGTTTACAAAGTTTCTCTTCTCTTCGTGTAGACCGCTATTCCAATCAATTTTCATCGGTGAAAAAATACCTTGTTAAATATGTAACATGGCACAGGATGATAATGGTGGCTTTTGGACCCAAAAGGCTGTATTTTTAGGATCCTCATAATTAAGTCTGATCATGGCACACGTGTCTTAGTAACTATGCGTATGAGGTGCCCTTGATCAAGTTGTTATAAATAGATTCATTTTCTTTAATGTTTATAAAGTGTGGAAAAAGGAAAACGAAGCCATGGGCAAACTTATCAACTTTATTAAGGTTAAGATTGAAAAATGTATACAGCATCTCATTACAGCCATTCAACGAATAACTTCTTGAGGCGCTTTTCACAGCGTGATACCAGAAATATCTCCTGGGGTATAAGGACTGGAAGCGCTTGCAAACCACGGCATATGATTTCAGGAATCTTTGATGTGATGAATTAAAATAAACACTAAAATATGTTCTGACTTCATTACTAGATACCTAAATAACTGAATATTTGTGATTGGAATTTTCCTTAAGCTGGAAATAATTTACTGTATCCAGGATAAAACTGACAGAAAATTTATCTCAAAGAATTATCGATGATTCGCGGTATTAAAAGAGAGAGAGAGAGAAAGAGATTACTTGCGTCACAACGTGATGCGAGAATATGTGACTTTCAAACTAAAGGAAATCCCGCACGGCATTCTTACCACACCTACTAAAGTTCAGTTAGAAAGAGTACACAAAGCATTGAGGTTTGCGCCCGCTATAAAGGCATTCAGCGTACGATCGAAGCAGAAAGTGTAGGTGTTCTAGAAGTATTTGCATGAATGAAGAACTCATTTTTTCTTTCTATAGGAGAGAGCGGAGAAGAAAGTTTAGGAGATGAAGAGTCTCATCTCAAAATATTGCTGATCAGTGAATTCCAAGATTTGAGAGAATTCTTGACCAAACTAATAACATCAAAGACCGATGGTGACAAAAAGGAGATAAATGCAGGTGTCCAGAATCTGCTGACCAAAATTAAAGGAACTCAAAAGAAACAACAGGACATAACGACCCGTTTCGTCGCTTTTGAAAGCAAATTACCGATATTGCTCCAGGAAATCAAAGAGTGTATCGTCAACGAAATTCTAAAATACTTTAATAAGACAGAGGGTAGTCACCCAAATCGACTGCAGATGCAGTTAAATACCAGCGATAGAAAAACAGTTCAAGGTAGGTGATCTGTCTGCCCCTTTGTCATCTTACAATGAGAATGAAAGATTTTGCATCTTGAATCTGAGGAAGAACTACATTTAACAGTTAATATCATTTGGTAAACATCGTTGAGTAATCTTGAATTCGTTAAAAAGCTATTATTTAATAAATGTCGCACTGTCAAAAATGATTTTTTCAAGATACAGAGTCCGCCACAGCCAAGGAACTCAAGAGGATGAAGAAAAAGTTTGATCACCTGGAAGGAAGTAAGTATCAACTTAGCAAAGTTTTTCTCAGAGATATCATAGTTGTAAAATGATTGTAGTTAAAGGTTTGTGTTTAGAATCAGGTTTGCTAATACGAAGACCGAAAAAGTTTATTCCCACCGTGTAGTTGTATTCGTTTCTGTTGCTGGCTTGACTGGTGATCCTCATCCTCTGTCCTTAACCAGTCTATAACCAGCGCCCTTATTCTTAAATATTGAGACCGTTCCAATTCACCAACCAGTCTATAACCAGCGCCCTTATTCTTAAATATTGAGACCGTTCCAATTCACCAACCAGTCTATAACCAGCGCCCTTATTCTTAAATATTGAGACCGTTCCAATTCACCAACCAGTCTATAACCAGCGCCCTTATTCTTAAATATTGAGACCGTTCCAATTCACCAACCAGTCTATAACCAGCGCCCTTATTCTTAAATATTGAGACCGTTCCAATTCACCAACCAGTCTATAACCAGCGCCCTTATTCTTAAATATTGAGACCGTTCCAATTCACCAACCAGTCTATAACCAGCGCCCTTATTCTTAAATATTGAGACCGTTCCAATTCACCAACACAGAAGCTTTAACATGTTCTTAAGTAGTTTTGCTTGTTCTTGTTATAATTTTTGCTACACGAAGTAACTATGGCCTGACAATGTTTTCTCTTCACTTTTGTAGACATATCATTTGATGGCCTCTTTGTAGGCACCAAAGGATCCCAAATGTTTTCAAATGCTTTTCTTGCCTTTGACGATACAAATTGGCAACTCGATAACACATTGGAGAACCTTTTTTGAAATCCCTAAAAGCGGCTATCTGTATCATTACATTGAGCTGAGCTAGTCGTTACTAACGAGAAAAAAAGAAGTGGGAAAAGGAAGGCTGCCGTAAGAAATGTCACCATAGATAATTCAAAAGTTATTTGTAGAGCAAGAGTTATACTCTGTATCGTCATTTTTTTTTCCAGGCGTGTACTTTCCAAGGTTAAACGAGCAACCCTTTCAGAAAAAGTGTTGCGGCGTTCTTTGCGCCCTAAAGCCTTCGGGGAAACTTATTGCTAAAAGATCTTCTGAGCGAAAGCAGGAAAAAAACGTACAGAATGCCCCAGCAAACTGCGTATTTGACCATTCAACAGGCACCACAAGTGGAACCGATGAGGGGAAAGATTCATGGTGGTCTGTTGACCTTGGCTCAAAGCATCGACTATTTCTCTCTCATTACGAGTTGCGGCACGGTAAGCCAGGAGCTGACTCGCTTCTCACAGAGTGGCAACTTCAAGGATCCATAGATGAAGCAATAAATAGCTGGGAAAACATTGAAACTATTTTTGATAAAAGTGATCCTCAGTTCAGTAACTCTGACCGTTATATTTCAGGCAGGTGGTCGGTTGGAGGTAAAAGGAAAGCGTACCGTTACTTTCGCATTAAACAGACTAGAGTTAATAAATCGGGCAAGTACGGAATTTTCTTATCAGGCATTGAACTGTACGGTACACTGCTTAATATTTGAACGCTTTAATTTTTTTTAATCCAGATAAGATGAAATGATTTAATGATATTGTTAAGTTGGCTATAAAATTATTCAAATTGTCATTTCTTTTAAATTTTAGAAGATCTTTTGGAATAAGCTTACCGTATTTTTGACGTTTCAATCATTCAAAGATACTTTTTGATGTCACAGATTTTAGCTGGGTTTTTCTATTCCTCAAGCTGAATGGATGAGGGTGGTTGATTGGGCCACGCATGATTTCAAACTTCAGCCGTTTACCTGAAATGATACACAATAAAAAAATTTTGGGGTGTCCTCTTCAGTAAAAGAAATTTGTAAGCAACAGTAACGAATTTAATTCTTGCATCATTACTTCATATGCGGTTCTTACAGGAGAAGGAACGTGTAATTTTTATTCATGAAAGCGTATCAGAGGACTCTGAAAAGTGAATATCTCACGCCGTAAACGGTGAGCTGTTCGTAAACATTTTTCCCGCGCGTTGAAAAATATTTGAAGGATAATAAATGTAGCAGGGGTCTTTTTGCAATCTCTTTGCAAATATTTCAAACGAGTTCTTACTAGATCTCACTAACTCAAACAAGCAATCTATGGGTACAAAATGTGTACAAACTGTAGCAACCAACGTCAAAAGTATAATAACTACCTGGAAATTTCGACAAGAACAGTTTACACGCTGACGACAGTAACAAAGCAGAAGAAAGCCGTTAAGTTGGATTTTCAGGCCATCGCTGGAGACGAAGGTGTAAGCAACTTCTTAGATTGACAATACTTTGACAATACTTTTATTTTCTTTCACCATATTTCCTTACAATATACGATATTCTACCAAACTTATCATATATTTATTTAAGAAGAAATAAATAAATACAAAAGGTGAGAGAAATACCCACCCGAATGCAGCAAAGCTAATCGAGTCGGGTGGTTGCAGACAATGTTAAATTATATCAAGGAGGTTGGAAATAAAAATTAAAAGGAGATTACAATACTGTTAATTTAGAAAAGTGAAATTGATTCAAACAAGTATATCATTATGATTAACAACGAAGCAAATAAAGTAAATTAAAGTATGAATAGTTTACAGTACGGGTTATTAATGTAAATAAATATAGAAGCTGCTATTTTAGTTCCCTAAGTCCACCAGTCATTTTAGCAACAATCGTTTTTTTAGAGTCATAATTGTTTTCATTGTTGAGTAATTTTAACAAAAGTGTATG